TCTTTGTTATTGATAAACTTGCTGCAGGGCCCAGATTATTATCCCAGTATTACTTTGAAGTGGTGAACTCCTGTACACAAGGAAGGCAAGAGTCCTTTCAGAGGCCAACATGATGGTTGGTTTTTCTAGAGTTGCAATTAGGTTAATTCAGCCAGCACATAAAAAAATGATCATGCCTGGATGTAAACTAGACCGACTTTTTTTGTTCATGCTTTTGAGGATTATGAATTCTTGAAGCATGTTCCCATTTAGTCTTTTTTACTAAAAAAGTGCATTACATTTTGCCTCTCAAAGAAGGACTGGTGAATTACCTGGTTGTTCTTCTCTGTAATAATTTCACTACAGATGTTTCTTTTTTTGCAGTGTGCAACCGCAACTGTGCACAATATTCTGAATTAAGTCTTACCAGTGCATTGTGTGTGAAATCTCTTGAATTGAATTCTATATTTATAATTGTGTATTTTAATACTGTTTTATGTTGCTTTCCCACATTCTTGAGAAGATGTAAATGATGTGTGAACATAAACAACAAAGACTTTGTTCATTCTAGTACTACATGTGTTTTATAGCTTGTTTTTCTATGTGTGAATAATTTAATTAATATATACTAAAAATATTGTTTTCCAGATTTTGCCCAGTTTTCAAATTAACTCAATTTGAAAAGCTTCTACTTTCTTGTTTCATATGCAAATGTGACCAGTTAACTAACTTTACCAGAATTTATAATAATAATAGGAAAATAGTATAATACATTTTTATATACTGTAAAACAGATTCATAAAATTTATTTTACATTACCCCTTTCCTATCGCATCTAAAAGCAGTACGCGATAAAATCAAATAAAAACATTAGAAACACATTAATACACATAATACTTTAATTGCAAAATTTAATATGAGCTGGGAGATTATTCCACAGTCCTGGAACAAAAGAACAGAATAGCACTGTCGCCCAGTGTTTGGAACCTCGTATCGGGATCTGAAATAAGGCCAGAATCTGAAGAGTACAAATGATGTGTAGCTGTACAGGGAGTTAGCACCTCTCTGATGTAGTCAGAAGCCAAACTGTTCAAACTCTTAAAGGTGAGCTGTGGTGTTTTAAATTTTATTCTGAAATCCATAGGGAGCCAGTGTGAGGAAGCTAAAATAGTAGAGTTGTTCACATGCATTTTAGCTTAGATTTAAGTAGCTGAAAAAAATATAAATCTACCATACAGTAACAATTCTGACTGGGTAATTGTGTCAGCATGCATAGGAATATGTAAAGGTTAATTCTGCACCGAGTGGAAATAAGACCCTCAACCTTTCAGCTGTTGAGACTTCTCCAGGTGTGATGGAGAAAGAGGAAGGAAACAATGATATTGTCAGATTTATTAGCATTTATTATGTCAGAGACACTTCACCCAATGCTGCTGTCTTTCCTTTAACATGTCTCATAACCTGTACTTTATGTACAGTATATACATATACAGTGAGTTGTGCATGAAATTTATTGTAATGATTTGAACTGGATCTGTTAATTTTTTTTATCATTTTCTAAATTGCTTTCTTTCTCCTTTTTTTCTTTATTGGTTTATTAAAACCTTTGTGCTATTAGCTTTTCTTTCCTTGCACATATTTATTCTAGGGATGAATCTGTGCTCCTTTTCAAGCATAAAAGCTCTAAAATGTTACCATTTATACAGCATCCATGTTTTTCCAATTATACATCTCTAAACCCCTTTCTGTGTTGTCTGTAATCTGCTTTCCTCAAATTGTAATTGATTTTGGAATTTTGGAGATCTGTAAAATACTCCCAAAATATTTTGCTTTTTGAATGTTTGAGTCTGCCCCTTGATTCATGTATTGTAGGTTGGGCTCCTGTGCCTGTATGCTCATTTTGATGTATAGTGGTGCTACATCTCCCCTCAACTGCCTTTCCCATCTCTTTGGAATTCTGTGGATCCACTAATGTTGTATTTGTCACTGCTATTCTCTGGCAGTAGCCAGGTTTCCAGTTGCATCATAATCACATGGTAATGCAGGAGCTTTTGCCTACTTTATTTTCTTCCTAAGACTCCTGGCATTTAGGTATGAGCACTTAATTACCTAGTACTTTGATGAAGCATTTTTTCTGGGGTCTGCTTTTTGACTGTGCTTTCTGCATATTGTTCTTGTCTAGTTTCTGCTGATTCTGCTGATTCTCCTCCTTCCATTCTGTAGCAGGTTTACCTTGACAGTTCTAATGTATTTGCATTTATAATTATTGCTGTTCCTAATGTTACCAATTCTATATCATAACTTGTTAACAGAACTACACGCATGCCAGCTTAATATTCTTGACTCCTGTGTGCACCATTTTCACTAAATGATATCTTCTAGAAAGACAGTACTCTACAGTATGTTGATTTGCATTCAAGTCTTTATTCTTGACCCATTCATTTAGCTACCCAACGATGCCCAAGACATTTTAGAGCACAATACCATTTCTGGACAAACCAGGTTTTCTGTAATTTTCAGTTCCATGTTTTTTTCAGAGTAAATACAATAAATAAATCTCTTTTGAGTAGTTTGATTTAATCAACATTCTGTACGTTAGAAAATGTCATTTAGGAAACTGAGTTTTATCAAAATAAAAATGAAATGAATGCCCACTCCTATTTCTGATGAAAAACCTAAGCAGCTGCTTCTTTATTTAAGAAGGTAATAGCAATAATATAATAATAACCAATCCTCTTTATGTGTTAAATGATAAACGTTCTCTTATGCAACAAAGGAGACTAAAACAAAGTGAAAATTATGTGATTAAATATGTGTTTGAAATGAGTATTAATAATTATTGATGCTTAATGATTAAGATAATTATGCACTTTATGCTGGGATCCAAATGAAATTAACCTTTTCAGGTCCACTAAAGGAAATGCTTTTGAATCCAATGAATGTTATGCTGAAGCCCAAATGCAGATAATTATGACGTTATTCTGATTAATATATGTTGGCTTAATTTTTGCCTTCACTTCCATGGCAAGAAGCAAGTTTGATTTGGAGTAATTTGCAGTAAATCAGTAACAGTGAGTGACTTAATTCATGCCTGTCAATTACATGTTTGGGACAACTAAAGCAATGGAAAAATAAAATGAATCCTTGTCCAATAGCAGATTGAAACTCTCTGCCCTTGTCATTTCACAAGGAGACTGTGACAGCGAGTGCTCTTGTCACTGGACTTGGAGCCAGCAAGGCTTTTATTTAGTATGAAGTGTTTTTTTTTATTGCCTTACAGATACAACCCCTGTAATCCCTCTGTCTTAATGTGAAACATGACACATGCAGCAGGCCTGGGGAGACTCAGGCAGGGTCTGGGTGGTGACTCTCATGATATCGGAGCACAGAAGCTGGATAACCTTCCCAGCCGGTGTTTGACCCCCCACCAAGTCCAGCTGATATGCAAAACCGCAGCCGAGTCATGACAAACATACACCAGGAGCCTTGAGTTAGGAGATATTTTCAGGAGCCCAGTGCTCAGGCTTCACAGTGCAGCCTGTTGTGTCTGTGTCATTTGTGTTAAGCCCATTAATGAGACTTCACCTAGTGTTGCACTCTCAAAGTCCCTGATTCCCTGTTGTTATTTGAAAAGGAAAAAAAAGCAACAGGTCACTCTTCTTGTTCACCACTGTTATCCTGGACACCATTTGTGTTGTTATTATCCAATCTGGAAGGATTTAAATCAATTTCCATTGCTGTTGTATCACATACAGTATGTGATGGACATCTTTCCCACGTTCTCTAAGGACACAGATCCACACACCTTCTCTTTGCACTTCACTCAGATATTGACTGTAGACATTTTGAGTGCTGATTTTTTATTGGAAAGGGTGAATGCCTCATTGGCTTTGAAAATTATTCATGAAACTGGTTTTAACACAACATGAGAAAATTATAACATGGCCCGTGTCTCTTGATTTTATCAATGGTATACTGGGTTCTATACACTTTGGTTTGTCAGTCAAATCTGTTACACATCTGACCGAGATCAAGGCAACCTACCTACCTGAAACCTGATGTTCCTGGAGAAGAGGAAGCTGTGCCTTTTCAGATTAGCTTCACTGTCTTCCTCTGAATGCAAGCCAGTGTGTCCTTATTGTCTTTGATGTCCAAGATTGACGACTGTTAGATGTACAGTGTGGCTTCAGAATATCTTTTAAACACACAGCAGAGAGTCGGCTTTCTGTCAACTGATCAAGAATGCATATCACAAAGATCTCTGTGGTGGGGAAATATGTGTGAGTGAGAGAAGAAGGGAGTATGTTCCTGTGTTTGGTGCTCTGTGTAAAGTGTTTCATAGCAAGCTATGAACTGACGTGTTATGTTTCTTACAAGACATTACACTATGCAATCAATAACAAGTTCCATTCCCCCCCCCCCGCCCTTGTAGTGCTGGAGGGAGGCAGAGAGTGGGATGAGGTACAGGTTCCAGCAAGTAATCCAGAAAACCAAATCAAAGGATAACTTATACTGTATATGAGCCTGCCCTAGTCACAGTGAAGAATATCCAGAGGTGTTCTGTAAATAAATCCTGGTGTCCTGCTGCCTGAGTTTGTGTAACCACACAGTTCTCTGTGACCTCAGAAGAGCTGCAGCATTTGTTTTGTTTTCTTCTTTATTACCTAATGGTTCTTAATAGGATCAATAGAAAATAAAAGTGGATCACTTAGGTATTAATTGAAAAAAAAAATACAGTTTTGAAAATCTGTGGAATAGAACTATATCCATATTCCTTATGAGAGTTTCCTTTGTTTTGGTTTTCAAAAGTGTGAACGCTGGTTTTGTTTAGGCTCTTTAATCACATTTTGTGCTTCTGCTGTTCTTACCATCCAGTGCTGTGCTTCCAGAATGATATTGGCTGAGGATTCCCTCAGTTATGAAGTTCCAAACCCTTGTCAAGCTCTACAGCTGGCTGTCGATGCTGGAGGGCTGCTCTGTGAGCTCCAGTCCTAACCTGTGTGCCTGTGTCTCCTGTGCAGGATGCTGTGAAAGACAACCACAAGAAGAGGGAGATGGAGGAGAAGATCAAGAGGGCGAAGCTGGCAAAGGAGAAAGCTGAGCGGGAGAAGCTGGAGCGACAGCAGAAGAAGAAGCAGCTGATTGACATGAACAAAGGTAACATGCTGGCGAGCTGCTGCCTCGGAGCTTTAGGGTGCCGGGGAAAGTGCTGAATAATGTTACAGGCTGCGCTTCCAGACTAATTGGAGCTGGCTGGAGGTGATTTAGCATGTTACATACAGTACAAAAGTACAAAAGGTTGTATTGATTTCCTCTGTTTGCTACTAAGGAAGCAAATATTAACCCGCATTTTACCCAGGCAGACAGGCCTTCAGACAAGACTTTAAACTGAGGATAACGACTACTTCCACACTAAAGATCCCATGACACTGTTCAGAAGAGTGTGGGTGTAAACCCTAAATTCCTTAGAGTTACTCTTGGTTCTCCTGGTGACACAGTCTCTCGCTCCCCCTTCTGACTCGCTGTGCAGTGGGTCTGCTGGAGCAGAATGGCTGCATCTCCCCAGTGGATTCTGCACATTTAGTGGTCAGTCAAGTACAGTAGGTCCCCCTTCATACAATATGCTCTGTAATGAAAATCACTATATAAATTAAATTGATTATACAGTATATATACATTTCTAATGCTATATTGTATTGTTAGAACTATGAATATGATAGTTTTATAGATAAGCCTTAGGGTACAAGTTGATTTTTAAAATATTTTGTGCACATGCATTTTTTTGTTCCCATCAAAGGCAGTTGTGACCAGTTTGTTATGCAGTTATTCTGGGATTCTGGTTTCTTTCATTTATTATTATTGTTATTTCCCCTCTAAATTATACAGAAATATCTATCTTAGAAACATCATTTATCTTAAAATGTACCATGGGGATCCTTTCACTCAGCTGTGAGCACTTCGGCTCTGGTGGGTAACTAGCAGACAGACACCCTCAAGTGCCGTTGAAGATGTAGGTCACTTGTAAAGATGTTGAGCTTCTATAGGATTCAGGTTCACTGCATTTGTAGGGCAGGCAGATAATAGGCTGTCAGGTAGAGGATTAGTCTAAGGAAATGTGGTTTTTCTTCCTACTTTCCGTAGTTTAAGTTCTAAGTGACACAGATGCATTTGGCCTATTGACATTGCACTCCAGCATTGCATTTCATGCTGGCTTGAAAACACAGGATTTTAAAATAACATTTTCAATATAATAGCAATATATTTTCCTTCACGTTTCAACTATGATGTGAAGAGTCATAGAAGATTTGAATTAGATCACTTGTTTTTTTTTCTTCAGTAAACTCTAACTTCAGTAACCTGTAATGATGGTACTCACCATATATCTGTGTGCTATAAATGACCCACTTTAATTTTGTGAATAAAATAGTATTGTTTTTAATTCTATTGTATGTGTAGGGTCTACACTTGCATATTTTCATTCAGCTCTGCTAGCTGTTGCTCATTTAGTTGTTTCTAGTTGATTTAATAATGTGTAATATAGAGGGAGCTGGACACCTAATACTGTTGTGTGGTCATTAAACCACACAGCTGAGCTGAATTGTTCCCCGCCCTTCCCAGGAAAGTAGAAAAGCAGAGATCTAAATGAAAGCGATATAGACTTTTGATTTTAAAAAGGAGCAAATAACTTTATACATGTACTGTATATCCTTTACCCAGGGATTTTCCTTGTGATGCTTTCAAGTTTCTATTTGATGGCACATGTTTTTTCATGCTCTCCCAATAACTAAAGCAAACTAAGTGAGTTAGTGCTCTGTTTAAGTCTTGAACTATCCCTCATGGGAATCTGTTGTCCAGTTCTAATAGCTGTGCAAAAAATAAAATAGCTTACATTATTATGCTGCAGGGAACTTGTACTCCCCATATTCCCAGAATGGGAGACATTGTTCATTAGTAGGTTAGAAGAGATTTGGAAGACCTTCTGTAAATCCACTAAAATTGCAACTTTCATTCTTCAAGAAACTTATTGATAGCAGCAGTCTGTAAAGTCATGTGAAAGACCCTGTTTGACAGCCAGCTGGTTTCAAATGTCACACAACAAAAGAACTGCAGAGTACCGAGGGCATTTCTGGAATGTGAATTCCTAGTATACAGTACGAGCTTCTTTCAATGTGTTGTAAACTTTGAGACTGAAGAAGCGCAGAGTCGCGCAGTGACCTCTTTTTAATGGTGCCGGGTTTGCAACACTGGAAAGCACATTGAACAATCTGTGTCTAACCACATAGCAAAAGATCTTGTATATTAATATTTTAGTTTGTACAGATTTTGATCTTTAGTGTCTACAAGCTCCAAAAGAAGTGTTATATAAATAAAACATTACAGTATTTTAAACTCATATGCCAAGGGCAATGAAATGTTATAAATTTCTTGCATCTTCTTAACTCATCTCTGACCCCTTCATAACCTTTCTAGGTGTCTTCTGTTTGAACATAGTGTATTGAGCAGGGAATAGTGGTGTGTTGCTCTGCAAATCAATTGCACAGGGTCCATTAAGAAGCATTTTCCTGAGCAAAATGAGTGCCTCATGTAACTGAGAAAAAAAAATTAAAGTGTAAAGATTTTGATCTGGAAATGATTAGATTTTGTTTAGAGTTAGAAGAAGTAGAGAAGACTTTGCTGCTAAACAACCATTTCTTAGGATTTGGTTTGAAAGATTTCTTTTAGTTTTATACCTATCTGTAAGGATGCTTGGCAAGGTCAGCACTGGTCACCAGTTAAATTATAGGCCTATTCTTAAAAAAGCATTCTGGCTTTTATACCTGCATTATCAAAGAGTGTGAGTAACTTAAACATAATTAATGTGTGTTGAAATTTAAATGTACACAGTAATGGGCTGTAGCTCAACAATTTAAGATACTCTTCAACTCTTAAAGACAAGGCATTTAAGGGTATTACCATATTAAAATATGTCTAAGTAGTTTTCACTATAAACAAGCCATACACATTTATTGTTGATATTAATAAATGTGTTCTAAGCATGTATGTAATTATCTATTATTTTACTTATTGTTGGTGAGCATTTGTTAAATTACTCTATTCCTCACTATACCTTTACAGTAAAAAACAGTTATAAATTAGAAATAAACAGCAACATTAATTAACATCAGCAAACTCAGGATAAAGAAGCTAATTACTATATATTTAAATCGTTTCTCTTTTAAATCTGAAGTGTACTGTGTTTCTTCTTGTAAATATTAGTTACAAATACAGTAAATCAAGAAGAAAATCTAGGATACTGTGGACAAAGTGAGAAATTTTGAAAGAAATTAGGCCTTTGGAGCTCATTTTCCGAGACAGACCTGGAAGGTAAACAAATGAATGGAAATAATCACTTTATTGCTGAGCATTTTGTTTTTTTAGTTGCATTTAATTCATTTTAAGGGGCAATTTATATAATGAAATGGATTTTCATTCATTTTGTAAATTGGAAGCTAATCCTCTTCATAAGCAAATGATTAACAATCAAATTAATTTTTCATGATTTTATTCATTCTGATTTTTAAAGAGGTTTGTGTTGTGGTGGTCAGGAGTCATGACCATCACCAACAAAAATAAAACAATTACATTTTTGAGCAATTCAATTGAATCAAATAAGAAAAGGTTATGAAAACCAAAGTTTTGAATTAACATCTTCAGGTTGACATCAATATTTTATTCCTTTTTGACAGATGAACTGTGAGCACACAGGCAGAATCTGTTTTTGTAGTGAAGTATTAGCAATACTAATAGGGGAAATTGCTTATGAAGTCATTACTCTGTTCCCCATTTGTTTTAATTTGCTCTAAGTGGATTTCCATATTCTCTCGGACTGACCAGATGTTCAACATTCTCCAAATTGCTTTACCCACTGAAAGTAAATGGGAAATACTGTAAAATAGCCTTAATCCACATAATCCTTCTGTCTCTAATAGAACAAGATGTTTCATCACAGCAGGATATCTATTATGCTGCAAGATATTACATTATGTCATAGACAGCGTGCTCTGTGTGTGTAGAGGAGTGTGAGAGGTTGTTCAGGAGTGACTGGGCTGGCTTCTGGCTGATCCTTAGGGAGCAGTGGGTCCTGGCAGCTGGTATCACTGTGCCATGTATCACGGGTGATGGCAGACTTCATGCTGGCATTGCTGAGGTCAGTGTGTGTCCATTGACAACACCCCCTGGTCACCCCCCAGTGACCATGAAACTGACCATGTAAGACGTCATTGAGGCTTCTCTGCTCCTGGGTTAAAGTCATGCAATACCAATGAGGTGAAAAGCAAATATAAGAGCACAGTTTTGTTCTTCAAGATGAAACTTTTATTTGTGTGTTTAATTTCTGAAGTTTAGATGCCATGACATAACAAAAAAAGACAAACAGAAACTTGGCAGCAATTTAAGTGAGCTGACTATGGTAGATGGGTTGGAATCTTCACCATTGTCACAGATGGGGCTGCTTTGAGAGTTGCTTTTCACCCCCCAGAATAAAACCCAGTCTAAATAATTGAATAAATCTGAGTGAAGGTTTTGATTCAGCTGGGACTCTGTACATTATAAAAGAGTATAACCGAGGGAATGTGTGTGTGCGTACTTGTGTGCCTGCGTGTGTGTTCTGGAGGGGTGTCAGTGACTCAGACAGATGCTGTGAGCTGGTGCTTCAGTTTGGCTGGAGAAGGAGAATACCAGTGGTCAGTGCTAGAGGCTGGCTTATTGTATTCGACATAACTGCCACAGTCAACCAGCAGATGTAAAGCCTATTTTTTACTTTGAAAAGGAAAGAAAAAAGAAAAAAGACAAAACAGAGCTTAGGTTATATTGATGGGCTTGAAGCCCTTGAAAAAGGTTATAGAATCATTCCTATTTTATTTTCTGAAAGGTAGGCTCTCAGATTACAGAGAAAATCAATTGCAGATTCATCTGGTTCATTCCTGGTCTCTCTGTGTATTGTATTTGTTCAACTAAGAACCCTTTCTTGTAAGTGAGATGTTCAGCTCCATTCAGTAGCACCAGTGCTGTTTGTGTGTAAATGCTTACTGTCTATACGTGGACTTTATTTGTGTCAGCTCATGCATCTGTTTTATCTGTCTTTCTGTCTTCCCAATACTCTAGTGACAAAGCACTGT